CTGAGGCAGGAGGGTCACGGGTGCCAGTCGGTCCCCGGCCACTTAGTGAGGCCTGGAGTGGACGGAGAGAAGGAGAAAGGGCCGCCCGGGCTGCGGGGCTGCACCCCCAGAGCCTCCGGGAGGAAGAGGCTCGGCTTCCAGCGCAGCCCCAGCCCGTGGGAGCCACCCCGTCCTCTGCCTCTTCTTGGGTTTCAGCTCCGGCTTCGCAGCCCCTGTGGGGTCACTGTGTCCGAGCTGCTGTGGCTCTCCGTCCTCCTCAGCCTGACCAGCTGTGCAGGAGAGGCCTCTGTGGGTAAGTGCTGGGTGCTGGGTACTAGGTGCTGGGGTGCTGGGTACTGGATTCTGGTGCTATATACAGGGTGTTCAGCGCCGGGTGTTGGGTGCTGACTAGTGAGTGCTGGGTCCTGGGTGATGGGGAGTGAGTGCTGGGTGCTGGTGTGCTGGCTGTTGGGTGCTGGGTATTGGTTACTCAGTGCTGAGTATTGAGGGCAAGGTGTTGAGTGCTGGGTAGTGAATACTGGGTGCTGGATGATGGACACTGAGTGATGGGTGTGGGTGCTGGGTACTGAGTACTGGGTGCCAAGTACCAGGTGCAGAGTGCTGGGTACTGAATGCTAGGGTGTTGGGTACTGGGTACACAGTGCTGGGGGTTGAATGCTGGGTACTGGGTGCTGGGGTGCTGGATGCTGGGTACTGGTGTGCTGTGTGCTAGGTGCTGGCTGTTGGGTGCTGGGTACTGGGTACTCAGTGCTGAGTACTGAGGGCAGGGTGTTGAGTTCTGGGTACTGGGTGCTGGGGTATATGCTTCTGGGTTCCAAAGGCTGATGTCCGGTAACAGATGTGGGGTGCTGGGTGCTGGGTACTGGTGTGCTGGCTGTTGGGTGCTGGGTATTGGTTACTCAGTGCTGAGTATTGAGGGCAAGGTTTTGAGTGCTGGGTAGTGAATACTGGGTGCTGGGTGATGGACACTGAGCGATGGGTGTGGGTGCTGAGTACTGGGTGCCAAGTACCACGTGCAGAGTGCTGGGTACTAAATGCTAGGGTGTTGGGTGATGGACACTGAGTGATGGGTGTGGGTGCTGAGTACTGGGTGCCAAGTACCAGGTGCAGAGTACTGGGTACTGAATGCTAGGGTGTTGGGTACTGGGTACTCAGTGCTGGGGGTTGAATGCTGGGTACTGGGTGCTGGGGTATATGCTGCTGGGTTCCAGAGGCTGATGTCCGGTACCAGATGTGGGGTGCTGGGTGCTGGGTACTGGTGTGCCAGCTGTTGGGTGCTGGGTATTGGTTACGCAGTGCTGAGTATTGAGGGCAAGGTGTTGAGTGCTGAGTACTCCCTGGGTGCTGGCTGCTGGGTGCTGGCTGCTGGGTTCCAGATGCTGATGCCTGGTACCAGGTGCTGGGTGCAGGGTGCAGGGTGCAGGGCGCCAGGCGCTGGGGCTGGAGGTCACAGCCACGCTGCCCTCCCGCAGGGCCGACTCCAGACGGGCAGGGCCCCGTCACGGACCTGCAGCTGCACCCAAGGCAGAAGATGCTGACGTGGAAATACCGGAGCCCGGTGAGCGCGGGCCTCTGCAGCATGGACGCCCCACTGAGCCCCGCTGTGAACACCACGCCCAGGGTGAGCGCCCGGCCGCTGTGCCCCTGGGGTGGCCTCTCTGGTTCTCACCCATCGCTGCTTGTTGTCCCGGGAGGGGAAAGGGGAGCAAAGGAAAGGCTGAGGTTTGGGTGCAGATTTAGGGTGCCTCCCCCACTCCTGCGGTGACCTGCTGGAGGGTCTGCACCCCTCTACGCTGTGTCTGCATCGCGACATAAAACTCCACCCTAAACTGCATCGCAGAACAAGTTTTCAGGGAGCTGCATCCTCTGCTTGATCCATCGAGCTGCAGATGCAACCAAAATAAAAACGGACCATCTGTACCTGCCCCATTGGGTACCACAGCCACATCCAATATGGCGCCAGGGCCACATCCAATATGGCGCCATGCTGCAGCCAATATGATGCCACATCCAATATGGCACCATGCTGCAGCCAATATGATGCCACATCCAATATGGCACCATGCTGCAGCCAATATGATGCCACATCCAATATGGCACCTTGCTGTAGCCAGTATGATGCTACATCCAATATGGCACCTTGCTGTAGCCAGTATGATGCCACATCCAATATGGTGCTGCCACTACGTCCAATAATGGTGTCACATATGGCAATGCCGACACACCCAACATGGCGCTAGGACTGGCATCCCTCCATGTCACAGATGGCTTTTCCATGTTTTCATTGTCTTTTTGGTCTTGCAGAGGCATTTCAGGATCTTTTTTCTGAGATTGTTCTTTTTGTTGTTGTTGTTTGTCTGAGATGGGGTCCCCCTCTGCAGTCCAGGCTGGCCTTGAGCTGTGTAGCCCCGGCTGGTCTCAAACTCACAGCGATCCTCCTGCCTCAGCCTCCTGTGTGCTGGCTTAGATTATTCTTTACATTTTTGCTTTAGTGTTTTCGTGGGAAATCGCCTGTGGAACCCTCTCACTTTCTGAGAATTTCCACCAAAGACCTGTGTCATCCTCCTCGTCCCTCCAGATTTATTTATCTAATCAGGAAGTCCTGTCACTTCTGCATGCCTTGATAATTTCTAGGCACACGCACAGCTTCGTACAGTTTTAATCTTTTAAGTCCTGATGGTTGCATCCCAGACCTTTGCTCTGAGCTGTGTCCGCTGCGCTTGTTTTTATTTTTATTTGCTGGGCTTACCTGCTCAGCTGCCCAGGCTGGTTTGAGCTTGAGACCCTCCTGCCTCAGCCTCCCCAGTGTGGGATCCTCCTGCCTCAGCCTCCCCAGTGTGTGTGGGATCCTCCTGCCTCAGCCTCCCCAGTGTGGGGTCCTCCCGCCTCAGCCTCCCCAGTGTGGGGTCCTCCCGCCTCAGCCTCCCCAGTGTGTGTGGGATCCTCCTGCCTCAGCCTCCCCAGTGTGGGGTCCTCCCGCCTCAGCCTCCCCAGTGTGTGTGGGATCCTCCTGCCTCGGCCTCCCGAGTGTGGGATCCTCCCGCCTCAGCCTCCCCAGTGTGTGTGGGATCCTCCTGCCTCAGCCTCCCCAGTGTGGGATCCTCCCGCCTCAGCCTCCCCAGTGTGTGTGGGATCCTCCTGCCTCAGCCTCCCCAGTGTGGGATCCTCCCGCCTCAGCCTCCCCAGTGTGGGGTCCTCCCGCCTCAGCCTCCCCAGTGTGTGTGGGATCCTCCTGCCTCGGCCTCCCGAGTGTGGGATCCTCCCGCCTCAGCCTCCCCAGTGTGGGATCCTCCTGCCTCAGCCTCCCGAGTGTGTGTGGGGTCCTCCCGCCTCGGCCTCCCCATTGTGTGTGGGGTCCTCCCGCCTCAGCCTCCCCAGTGTGGGGTCCTCCTGCCTCAGCCTCCCCAGTGTGGGATCCTCCCGCCTCAGCCTCCCCAGTGTGGGGTCCTCCTGCCTCAGCCTCCCCAGTGTGGGGTCCTCCCACCTCAGCCTCCCGAGTGTGGGATCCTCCTGCCTCAGCCTCCCCAGCGTGGGATCCTCCTGCCTCAGCCTCCCCAGTGTGGGGTCCTCCCGCCTCAGCCTCCCCAGTGTGGGATCCTCCTGCCTCAGCCTCCCCAGCGTGGGATCCTCCCGCCTCAGCCTCCCCAGTGTGGGGTCCTCCCACCTCAGCCTCCCGAGTGTGGGATCCTCCTGCCTCAGCCTCCCCAGTGTGGGGTCCTCCCACCTCAGCCTCCCGAGTGTGGGATCCTCCTGCCTCAGCCTCCCCAGCGTGGGATCCTCCCGCCTCAGCCTCCCCAGTGTGGGGTCCTCCCGCCTCAGCCTCCCCAGTGTGGGGTCCTCCTGCCTCAACCTCCCCATGTGTGTGGGAGCCCAGCAGTCACCACCACGACACCCGGGATTGGTGGAAATGGCCGCAGAGCTGTGGCGGGAGGCCGAGAAGGCCAGGGCCCGTCTGTGCCAGGCGGGCTGAGGAATGGGCTTGGCAGAGGGAGGCTGAGGCGGGAGGGCTCCCTGGTCTTCCAGGTGCTGGACCAGGACACCTATTTCTGCGCCTTCCCGTCCTCGGTCCTGCACCGCGGGGCCACGTTCACCGTCTACTCCGTGGTGGCCAACGTCACCGTGCAGCAGACCCTGCTCTTCCGCAACCCAGGTGGCGCGGGGTCCCCGGTGGGCGGGCGGCTGGCGATGCCCGCACCCCACAGCGGGTGCTGAGCGCCTGGTTGCCGTGTCTCAGGCGCGGTCGGAGCCGGGGCCACCAACCTGTCGTGTGTCGTCTACGCCGTGAGCTTCATGAACTGCAGCTGGGTACCCGGCCGCACGGCCCCCGCGGACACTCGCTACCAGCTCTTCTTCTGGTTCCACCCGTGAGTGGGCGGCGTGGGGTGGGACGGGCTGGACAGGCCGTGGCGGGGACGGGGTGTCTCAGAGTCCCCAGGAGGACAGAAAATACAGGGTGCAGATTCGAGATGGATTCGACCAAGATACAGAGTCCACCCTTTAATAGGACAACGGGGAAGAGGATGCGGGGGAATACTATGCAGCCCCGAACAAGGAAGGCCTCTGCTTTGCAACGATAAGGCAGGGAGTGCAGATGGTTACGCTCGGTGCCATAAACCACGAGCAGACAGACGAGTATCGTAGGGCCCTGGAGGCTAAAACACTGATCTCACAGGCAGAGAAGGGGGGACCCGGGTGTGGAGAGGCTTGAGAGCTTCCCAGTTTACAAAGGAAGTTACAGAAGCCAGACACGGAGGACCACACACCTGTAACCAGCGCTGCTGAGGAGGCCGAGGCAGGAGGAGCTCAAGTCCCAGCCCGGCCCGGGACAGGCTAGCAACCCATTGAGACCGGTCTCAAAATGAGAACTAAACAACGGGCCGAGGATGGAGCTCGGTTGCCAGTGCCAGCTTCCACGCCCGGGGTGCTCGGTTCCCCAGCCGGGGGTGGATTTGAGACCCTCCTGCCTCAGCCTCCCCAGAGTGCTAAGATGGCAGGCACTT